TAAATAAGTCATATCATTGAACAAAATTTAAAATAAAAGTTATGAACATTAGTATATTTTCCTTCTTGTTTCTTTATTAAGATTTCGAAAATTCCCTGTATTTTACGTTATTCCATTACGATTAAATATTATGGATTCAATAACGTTCTTATATTAAAATAAGAAAATTAGAAAAAATATTTTAGCCTTTTTCAAACATAGTAAAGTTATTAAACTATGGAGGCTCTAAATCTTAAAATAAACCACTAAAGGAGAAATTATGGAGTTAAGGAGACGCGTTAGCTAACCGATGCTGAATTAACGTCCAATTTCACGTTAAATCAAAATATCATTCTTATGATAAACGAGTGTTGGAAATTAAAGGGAAACATAAAAATCGCATCTAAATCGAATTGGAATTAAATTTGGTTTAGCTTTGGATTCAGTTTTTCAAACTAAATTAAGCTTATCTTTGATAAAAATGAATTTTGTTTAACTATTACATAGTAATGAAATCAAAATCTTCAAATTCAAATTTTTTTCCTAATCATTCAAACCAACCAGTAAATCGAATTTTTAAATAATTATACGTTCAATCTGGATCTTGAATGTATTTGTTGCTAACTTTCTGCTGGGAAAACGGAAACTAATTGCTCAGCCCTTATTTCAAACCTTAGAAATTAGCTATTTTTGATTTTAAAATGAATTTTATTTAACTATCATAGCTAATGGAATCAAATCGAAATTCAATTTTGTTCTCTATACTCAAATCAAGTCAGTGCTGATAACAGACAGTCCATAATATATATTAGCGAGCATTAGGCTCAAACTATAGCTCTTCTCCTTTAGCCTTTAGGCGATTAAACCATTTATTTTATCCAAATCCAGCCTTTATCATATTCAAAATTAAAAAATATCAATAAAACAGTTGATTGGCTTTGTAGGAACAAACAGTTACCTTAAAAACTTCCAAACATAGTCTACTATTAGTATAATTCAGAATCTTTATTAAAAAGAAAAAAAGAAAAAAGGAAAAAGGCCTTAGCCGCTCCATTCAGTATATATAATTACCACTGTAAATAGGTTTTTTTGGCAGACGATCTGGCGAGTCCAAAAAAGATCGTATGTTTCATTTGACATTACTCATTTTCGGAATTTTTTTTTAATTTACACCGTGCATGATTTATGCGAGATTTACAATTAATTTTATGTTTCGGGCAGCCATAATAATTAAGCTTTAAACCTGCCTAATTTTACGGAATTTAAAGTTAGGCGTTGTCGGGAAAACTATAATATACATTTGAAAGATGAATTTTCCGACATAGTCGCGACCAGCATAACGATTTTATAATAGTAAAACTAAAATTACATATTGTAGTTTTAAAACCCCGAGAAAAGATAATTCAATATGAAACATGTATGTTGGGATTATAACTGCTATCCCCGGAGTGGGGCCGCGAAAATGCCGGTCGTAGAAGTAAAATAACAATTGCCGACGACTTAAAGTGTAATAGCGCCGTGATTAAAGGATTATAACTGATCCCGAGTGGGGCCCGCGAAAATGCCGGTCGTAGAAGTAAAATAAAATTGCCGACGATAAAAGTTAATAGCGCCGATAAAGATTTAAATTACTATTACCACATTTATCTCCAATAATTACGTATTAGATATTGACGATCGAATTCACCAGAAATAATAATCACGGTAAAACTTAAATAATTACCGTAAATGCCAGATGAAAAATAAGGACAACGAGATTTACGTGGTTCACCCTTCAACTGTTATGGGTTACGTCCACGGGACAAAAAACTCCGAATAATTCTTCTACTAAAAATAGTAGGTACAAAAAAGAGGTTACAAAAATAGTGGCACTCTAAATATTTTTTAAAAATACCTCAAAATTTATAATCCTCATCATTTTCTCTCTTTTTCAATTTTAAGAACCTTCTCTGAAATGTATTTATATTTCTTCTGTTTTGTGTGTTGAAGACGTTTTCTTCTCCTATATTTATAGGAGAAGAAAGTGTACACAGCTCATGCAAGCCGTGCACACAGCTCAATGTGGTTGAGCTGTACACAGATCAACCACATGAGCTGTTTTTTTTTTTTAAACCATGTGTGTGGGTCCCATATGTTGGAGGGATCCACAACACATAATTCTTGTAGGTAGTTTTCTTGATAAGACTATTGATGCAAGGATGGATTGAGAGGGTTTAAAAATTTTTAGAGTGAAATAATTTTGAAAAAAAAAATTTAATTTTACCACCTATAATTAGTAAAATTATTTTTTTTAGCTATTTGAGTTGAGTCCGCCAGATGGAAATATTTGTAACTCCTTATACTAGTTTGTTTGGTTGAATCGATTTCACATTTGAATTTAGGCAAAGAACCAACTAAGAAAAATTTTAAATTCATTTTTATTACATTGTGAGTTTATTTGACTCCTAAATTGTTAATTTAGTGCTAAGTAATTTTTTAAATATAAGTTATACTTTCTTTTCATTTAATTGATATTTTTTTCTTGAAGTTTGCTTATTAATAGAAATATGAGAAAAAAATAGTCCTTTTTTATTTGTCAATTGTGAATTTTATTCTCTCCATCCAAAAAAGAAAATCCTTTTTTTATTTTTTACACAAATTAAAAAATAACAATTATTATGATTAAATGATAATTTTATTCGTATAACTTTTCTATGACAATTAAAAAATAACTTTTCTTAAATAACAGATGAACAATTATTATATCGGAATAATAAGTAAAAATTAATGAAGATTATTGAAAATAAGATAAAATTTAATAAGGTTATAGCAAACTACTACCTCCGTTCCATAATACTTGTTACATTTTAAAAAATAATTTGTTCTAAAATACTTGTCACATTTTTTGTTTTAAGGAGTAATAAATATTTTTTTCCATGTTTACCCTTTGTATATGGCCAATAAGTATTCTTTCAATTTAATGGTTTTCATAAAGAATTAGTATTAAATTAAGAGTAATATAGTCAATTTATTGTAACTTAGACAAATTTAGTGGTTTTTTTAAGGAACGTGAAATTTCAAATGTGATAAGTATTATGGAAGAGAGATAGTATTTAAGGATTTACTATAATGCAAAAAAGAAAAGTAGACTATATTTTCGAACAAACTAAAAAAAAAAAAATTATCTTTTGGCATAGGAGAAATATCATTTAAAATAATATGGTGGAGAGGAATATAATACCACTTCTTTTTTTTTTTTTTTTTTTTTTTAAAAAAAAAATTATCTTGTGGCATAGAGAAAATATCAATTTAAAAATAATATGGGAGAGGAATATAATACCACTTTTCTTTTTTTTTTTTTTTTTTTCTTCTTTTACAAACTTGAAGAAGGAACTGCATGCTATAATTTTAAATAAAGAAGATTTGGAAAATATTGCTAAAATAGTATTGTTTAATATTTCAGGTTAAATGACTTAATATGAAAAAGTTGATAACTACTAGGCGTGTTTTTTTTTTTTTTGTAAATTTTTTAAGTTTTTTTAATCTTTTTTATTTTTTAAGTAGTGTCAAACTTATATAATATTTATACTACAAGAGTCAAGTTTGGGTGAATGTTGGAATGTACATCTCGTTTAAGCTGCATGATTAGAGAAGTGGTATCAGTATAGTATCATCTTTTATAATGTAGGAAATAATGTGTTTATATTTCATCATAATAAAATTGCATAACTTGATAGAAGTCAACTTTTTAAAAATTGATTTTCATTTAGCCAAATCGTAACTTACAAATAAATATACTTATCACTTCAAACAAGCTTATTTCTGTTATTATTTTTCATTTAGCCAAAATCGAACTTACAAATAAATAACTTATCACTTCAAACAAGCTTATTTCTTATTATTTGAATGAAAAAGTTAAAGGTTCAATAAGCTGCTTTAAACTAAAACAAACAGCCCCTAAGCAGTATGGTGACAACATAAAAGTGAAACCTTAACAGCAGAACATTAAAAACTAAGTAAAATGAGAGTATATTAACAATTTAATGATGGTATTAGTAGTATAAGCGTAGAAGAGTCCACATATATTCATTATAGCTACCTCATAAACTGAACAGTGAAAAGGATTATTAGTTTACATAAAATTGATCATGTATTTTCAGTGATTATCTTTATAATCACTTGAATTTTGTAAGAATTCAATGGGGAACCTATATCTTCACATTTTAGTACATGTTTAGTGCATGTTTGATTAGGATTGTGATGATATGTTTAATGTCAAATGTCAATGATTGAAATGAAGGAATGGATAAGGATCATAAGTTTAGACAGCAAGATCCTAAAAATTGACTGAAAAATGCAAAATCAAATCAAGCTTTCCAATCCACCTTATCATTGTATTATATAATATAATATAATATATGATATGATATTTCCAGAAAACCCTAGCTTTGCTTAGGAAGAGCTAATAAGCTACATATATACAAACTGAGAGAGGACAACTCAATTATTAATTGCTCATCTCTCATTTCAAGGGCCCCATCCAAAATCTCTGTCTTGAAATCACATTTTCACTCTTTGTGATATTTTTTCAAACAGCTTTAACGTTGGCTTTGAAAGTTCCTTTCCTTCTCATGCATTTGTAATTTCATTTATTTAGTGAATGTGACACAAAACTATCTCTATTATTATTATTATTATTGATTATTATAATCATTACAAGACAGTGTGACTTTGTTTGTACTCATTAATTAATTAGATTCTTGTCATGAACTGTATATATATGTAGCTCAGTTCATTGCAAACAAAACAACAACATAACGTATTGAAAAACACATGGTTAGGGAAGATAATTACCTAATAATTAATTAAGTTCTTTGCCTGACACATGTCAAAGCAAAGAAAATCACATGCTACATTGCTTAATTAAGAACATAAAAGAAAATAGATCCATATATGATTAATTAATTAATTATTAGTACCTAAATATAATTTAAGTGAAGAATTACATACATACATATATAAATATATTCGATTATTATTAACTAGATAGAATCTGGTCCCTGCCCATTAGCAGTGTACGAGTTGAGGCTAAGCTCTAATGAAGTAGTACAGAAAGTGTTGTTGTTTCTTTCTTGAGCAGAATCATACCAATTGTGACACTGAGAGTAAGAAAGAGGGTTGTGCTTTATGTTGCTGCAGAAGCCATTAATGTCTTCTCTTTGTGTAGGGAAGAGAGGGAGAGTTTCAATTTCTGCTTCTTGTTCTTCTTCTTGTTCTTCATCATGATGTTCAAATAGGGTTTCCATATAACTTGATTTTTGCTTGTCAAAATATGAGTAACTAGATGATCCACTGCTATAAGGATTTTCATTAATCCCAACCCATCCATGGTTAGAGCTCATGGATCCACCAGCTGATATTGAACACTCCTGCTTCAAGAAAATGTTCAAATAGGGTTTCCATATAACTTGATTTTTGCTTGTCAAAATATGAGTAACTAGATGATCCACTGCTATAAGGATTTTCATTAATCCCAACCCATCCATGGTTAGAGCTCATGGATCCACCAGCTGATATTGAACACTCCTGCTTCAAGAAAATTATAATAATAATGATAATAATTTTACCAGAAAAGGAAAAAATAAAAGAAAAAACTAAAACTATATTCATACCCTTTATCATATTTGTTCATAGCAATAAAAGGAAAATACATATACCATTTTGACGTATGGAAACCAAAAAGTTTTTGCCCTTTTATGGATGTTTCAAGAAGATAAATTTTCATGTTTTAAATCTTATTTTTTTTTATATGTATAAATGAACCACACAGGGATGACTTTTATGTCGTTGTTGCCATTTTAATAAGAAGCAAAGACACAGTACATTTTTATAAGTGCACTACACCAACTTCATCAATCTCTCTCTCTCTCTCTCTCTTTCTTTTCTCTCTCGTCTCTCTCTCCTCTGCTCTCCTAATGTGTATATCTATATACTAGTATATATATTATAAAGATCAGACACAAAGCCATAAACCCTTTCCTGTCATCATTACTTCACCCTAAAACTCTTTTCCTTGTTACCATATCCATACCCATAATTTCCCATCTGTCCAACAGTAAACCCAGAATTTGAAGATGGAGATGCAGAAGAAGAAAACCCTGTAAAAGCGGAAAAAAAAACCCACATCATTAAAAAAAAAAAACCAAAAAAGAAGTAAGGAAAATTTTGCAAGAAATGAAAATAAAACGGAAAAATGCCAAGAAACGAAAGCAAAATTGAAAATGATACCAACTAAACAAAAGCCAACTAAACAAAAGATAAGATAAAAAAAAGAAAAAAAATGAAAATACAGTGAAAAATACAAAGAAAATGAAAAGAAAAGAGAAACAATACCAAGAAAATGAAAATAAAGTGAAGAAATACCAAGAGATGGAAGGAAAATTGAAAAATAATTCCAAGGAATTAAGAGAAAAGAGTAAAGAAATTTAAAAAAAAACAAACCAGGAGAAGTAAAACTAGGGTATTTGTTGTAGAAAGAAAGATCTTGATCTGGTTTAACAGTAGCAGAAGCAGTACTTTGCTGTTGCTGTTGTTGTTGTTGTTGTTGCTGTTGTTGTTGTTGTTGTTGCATGGGTACATCAGTTGTGAAACGTTTCTTTTGCCTCTCACGAGCTTTATGGTTCTGAAACCAATAAAAGACATTCTTGCCTTCAATTTTACCGTACTGTCTAAGCCTAGCAGAGATTTCTTCAATCTGATCTGCATTTGGAGACCTAACTCCACGGTTATCATAAAGTTCCTTCAGTATTCTTATCTGGTCAGGTGTTGGAGTCCATCTTCTCCTAGTTTTCCTGCAAAGAAAGCTTCCTTTAGCTGATCCAACGCCGCTATTCTCCTCATTTGCTAGTTGGTGGTGTTGTTGTTGCTGCACTTGCTGCTGATTAGAGCCCATGATTAAGAAATTATGAAGAAAACAAAGAGAAACCAACAAAAAGTTTCTCTTTTCTGTTTTCTTTTTTCAAGAAAAAGAAAGAAAGGAAAGTTGCAAGATATGCAGAGAAATGGATTTATATATATTAAAAAAAGAGGCATATGGATGATGATGAGAAGGGTAAGAATAGAGAAGAAGGGATGATATATATATATATATATATATATTATGAAAGAGAAGGACTAAAGTGACAAAAATAGATAGAAAGATGCATAAAAAAGGTAAGGGACAAAATAAGGGGTTGAGAAAAGGAAGGGCATCAGGGGAATTACTTGGACAAACAAGCATCTGACGAAGGATTGATTTAATTTATCAGAGTTCTCAGAAAGAGAGCATGGATGAATGTGATATAATGGATTGGAAAGAAACGAAAAGAAAAAGAAAGAAAAGAAAAAAAGAAAGAAAGAAAGAAAGTAGAAAAGGAGAGGAAGGATGGGTAATGAATGAATGAATGAATGGTTAATATAAAATGAGGGTTGTTGTGAATGAATGAATGAATGGTAATAATAAAATGAGGGGTTGTGTGATATAGAGTTCATTTTGTGGGGTTTGGTTATTCTTTTAATGTTGATATGGTTTCTGTTCTGTTCTTCATCAGGCCATGAAGCCAGACTAGAAGATATTCTCTGCACTATTGTCGTTTATAGTGAAGCCATGAAGCCATGAGCTACTAGGGATTTCAGGGGCAAAATTCTATATGTCGTTTATAGTGATATATAATAATTAACCTTTTTACTCAGAGAAATAAAAATGGAAGAGAAGAAGAGAATCAGATGTTAATTATATGCAGTGTAGTGAGCTTCAACATTCAATAAAAAGAAACAACTTTGGGTTTGCAAGTTAACTCTTGTACTTGTCTTATACTAAACAAGGCATTCAATATTCTTGATTTCTGCAGGTTAATGAATGAACCATGATTCCTCTTAGCAAGTTAACTTCTTTTTTCTTTTTTTATTAACATCGAGATATTCAGATCCTATTCAGGTAACTCGAATGTTCTCGACTATTTTCCATTCGCTCCGAGAGGTAAGTTAATAAAACCAATTGATTAGAAATCTTAGGGTTTCAAATATAATTATATTGTGGTAATTAACATTATTTATATACGAAGAATAATAGAATGCACTACAGTGGGAAAATTGAATAGAAAAACTCATTTCACTGTTACCATGCAGGAGAGTAAACGCAAATGGAAGAGAAAGGTAAATATAATAAAATGATAGTAATTATGATTTACTTTTCATCTTTTTACATAGAAGAAGGCCATCATCAATAACTCTTTCATTCTTTCTTGCGTTTTCTTTCCACAAAAACAACTGAATATTAATTATTTTACAATATATAGCATCTAACTATCCATGTAGTGCATGAGGTTATGTCATCTCTATTCCTCTTTCAGAGAATGAGCCACAATTTTACTAGGGAAAGTTCTTTCTTTCTCATACTTTACAAGGGAATATTGAAATCAATTTTCTGATCTCACTACAATAATAGTGTGTCACCTACTCATGGATGATTTTCCTTTTCTTTTTCTTTTGGCTTCTGCTCACGAAAACTACACACAAAAGCAGTGGTTTTGAAATCCCACTTACATCATGAAGGAGCCAAGATGGGAGACACAAATTAGAGGAACTTGATATGTAAACACACGTACTTAATGGGTTCACAAAAGAAATTGATGGAAGCTATATATTTTTTGGGTTTTCAAAAAGGCAAGATTAAGAACAATGCTTAACTAGAATTAAATTATTTTGCTGAAACGAAAGTACTGTTATTCCATGTTTGTTAGGATTTTATGTCTTAACTAGGTGTGTAACTTGGATCAGAATATTTCAATCCAAATCGAAATTCCAAACCAAATCTTAATTTCAAAATTTTAACAGTATTTTTCCAAATCAAATTTTAGTGTATTTTAGAACCAACTCTAAATTTTTATTAACTTATTCATTCATGTCCAATTTTCAATGTTTTTTAAAACTAAAAAGTTGCCTTTAAATTTAAAAGTAATATGCAAAGAAGTAAGTGATAATTTCTTGAAGTTGTGTTATATTTAGTGATACATACACATTATGATGGATTTTCTGTTTTAGATTTTTGAATTAGTTAAATTTTTTTTTATTTTCTCTTTTTTAATAATATGAAAAAATTTATTTGCTGATAAAAAAAGATGGATTTTCTGTTATGTCATACTTTCAATTTTAACTTTTGGCTCGTGAATAGCAATATTTTACTATTATCTTTATGGAATTCAAAGTTTGTCTGTTGTTAATTTCGCTTATTTTTTAAAAGAAAATTTTTAAATAATTCATTTTCTACTATTTACTTGCAATATTGAAAATTATTTAAAATTATAAGAGTTTCGTATTTTCAAAATTAATTATTAAAAATGAGAAAATATTTGTCGCTAAGTATGATATTTATCCTTCGTCATTTATTAATTGCGCTAACAAATGAGAAATTATAAATTTTTAGAGATTCTAATAAAATGGTTCTTTCTAGAGCTACCAAAATTAAATCACCATAAAAATGGATCTAACCAATTAGAATTTATAGATACTGAAACTAGAATCATACCAAAATTATGATGTTGCCAGTGCAACGTAAGCCTCATGTTTTCTTGCCTCATTTTACATAGGTATAAGTTAATCTGCAGGCTATATTTTCAGTTTGAGTCGTTAAAGTTGTTTTTCTTGTTTGATTTTTAAGGTTGCCACTAGTTTGTTTCCATAGCATCCCGCCTGTGTTCACTTTAAACCCGAATGTTAGTCCAGAGCTAGCTTTATTGGGGTTATGACCAAGTGATCGTCTTCTGTATCGTGGTACATATTGTTTGTGTTTGTGGAACATGTGATTATGCACCTCCTTTTTTTTTTTTTTTTTTTTTTTTTTTTTTTTTTTTTTTTTTTTTTTTTTTTGTTTTTTTAATATAACAAACTGCTGAATACCTGCGTGGTTGTGTTTGCTTTCGTTGCTCTTTGTTAAATATAATGTATGATTGTGCAAGGTCTTCCCGTATTCATTTGCCCCGTTATGCCATTTGTTTTTGAATAAAATTATCCTTGTGTTATTTGTTGTCTCGACTTACATGCGGTTTAAGTTATTTGAGCCATGCAGCTTTTTAGTCCTATTATGACCTCCAAAAGCTGTACAATATTGTTATCTTGATTGTGATATATTCAAAACTTTTTCATCTGTGTTTTATTTGTACTGTCACATGGTTTATTTGTCAGCATAAATACTGAGATGTCTTTTCTCCATTTTCAGATGTTTAAAAACTGATCAATAGCAAAAAGTATGGGGTTGATCTTGGTTTGCTCTACTTTCTCATCCTACAACTGTTATATTACTCCTCAAAAAATGGATGGGTGGTAGTGGCTTATGTAGTGGAATAAACAATTTCCTTGTTGGAATGACAGTTTTGGAAATTTATCTTATTTGGCTTAAGATATAGATATTCATTGTGTATCTGAGATCTTACTATGTTTAGATCATTATTTATTTTGAGTGTTCACTCGGTTCAGAATCTCGTGCGGCTTTCTCTTCGGTTAAATATAAACAAATTACTTGCGTATTTTTAAAGGTCATCATGACAGGTTGGTCTTTTGGTGCAGTACATTTACTTACAATTTGAATATTGCTCAACCCTTGCACCCCACCATCTCCTCTGTCCCATACCATTGTGACGGTTTCATGAATTTATCGCTGAAGCGGTCGTCTCGCTAAGTTGTTAGTTCCGGAAAAGGAATGTTTCGTATCTCCGGTCTCCTCCTTACCGACTGCTTCCCTACTCATCCGCATCAACGAGCTGAACAAGTGTTTCAGTTTGATATCTCCACCCGCGACCTCATCAGAACCTCTAGAAAAGTAAGGCCTTTCCTTCCCTTCCCAATTTCTGAATCTGTTATCGTTCTGTTCTCAGGTCTTCTTACACGAAGTACAAGGAAGGCCGTGGCCCATAAGCATATGCATCCGATTCAAGGTCACCCGTCGGTACTTCTGGCAATTTCCTTTGGCAGCCCGATACATCAGAACGTGTCTTGACTCTCGCAAGTGATGAAAAGTAGGATTTAGACCCTGAAGAATTACGGGATGCGCTTAGCACATACTACACACTCGGCTGTTTCAAACTCTCAAAACACTATTTCAGCGTGCATTAAATTCGAAAAAACTCAAACTTCTTTTAGGGCGGGAAAAAACCTTTAAAAGGTTAGGATTTAGACCTGAAGAATTACGGATGGTTAGCAATTACAATGGCTGTTTCAAACTTCAAAACTATTTAGCGTGCACTTAAAATTGAAAACTCAAATTCTTTTAGGGACCTTTTGATATCTTTTCTGTCGGGGGAGATGTATCTGATGCACATGTTGTAAAGTTTAGCAATGATGGGAGACTTATGCTCCTGACAACTATGGATGGGCATATTCATGTGCTTGATTCATTCCGTGGCACACTTGTGAGTTCAGCACTTAAAACTTTCGCTTAGATCTTTTTTTATTTTTTTATTTATTGAATTTGAAGATTTTAGGCTGGTTATTTATGTATGCTTCAGTAAGCCCCTTTGTCCTACTTTGGTTGTATTAGTTATCAACATAAAATGTGAAGCCAGTCTCCACCAACTCTACATTAGAGGCATCTGTCAGTCCTGAGGGAATGTTTGTTGCATCAGGTATATTTCATCTGTGTCAATATGTTTTTTTTTTGGGGACACTAACTTGCATCGTTTTAGTTGATTCTTAAGTTTCAATGCCGTAAAATATTCTTGTCAAACTTTCTGACTTACAAAAGTAATCCTTGTCAAAAAAATTTACTTATTGAATTGCTAGTAAATTTTTTTGTTAGATGTGCTAGTAAATGACTGATTCTTCTCTCTCTGTTCCTCTGTTATTTATTTTTTTATTTACTTTAGGGGCCAGGGATTTGGGTTGGAACTGCTAGGTTTTTGGGGCTTTTTGTGCACAATCATTCTGTTAATGTAAATCATTTATAGGCTGGAAATGGAAATGGAAATGGAGATTGTCTCCATAAAATCCTTGCCATGATATTACTATTCAATGAGACCATTTCAACCAATAAAAATTGGCATGTTGCTTTTGTCAAACTCAAAATTACTTTGGTTCTACAGAATATTACCTGTTTTGACTAGAAATAACTTTCTTGGCTTCTGATTCTTGACAGGCTCAGGTGATGGTCGAGTCCATGCTTGGAGTGTAAGGAGTGGGAAAGAAGTACGATAAGTCACTTTCTTTTATCTCATTCATCTTTGAACAACCCACTCCCACTCTCTATCTTCCTTTGCAGATTATCATAGTTCCTATTTCCTTGTTAACCAATACATAGCGTTCCTTACGTTGTTAACGCTGTATTTGGTCAAATAATCTTTGGTGGAATATAGTAGTACTCAGTAAATCAAAATGGATAATTCAGGCTCAGTTTTGTTAAAGGCCAAACGTGCGGTAAAGTTCAGAGGGTCTTGGAGCTTGAGGTGCAAAGCGTGCAGTCAGGTGCATCCTTCGTGGATACAAGGTTCATATTGACATTAAAAAAAAAAAAGAATATGTTTCTTGTTGAATAATAATCTATAAACTAAATACTAATCACATATTGTCTAAAAGATGTAGAATTCCATATATGCTTACTAAACATGTAGCAAATCAACTTACCTAGCTATAAATTTAGCAAAGTACATACCGTACCCATCATATTTCAGCAACTGCTATTTGGGCAAATCACAAACAAAAGCCAAATTTTGTTGTAAATTCTAGAAGTAAGAATTTTGGACATGTATATAACAAAGGACAACAAACTATTACTAAATTTCATCAACTTTTTTATATAAAAAAAACCCGAAAAATGCAATATGTAAGTGTTTTAACTCCAAATATGTTATAAATATGTAACATATTTGAAAGCTATAAATATGTAAGTGTATTTGAAAGCTAAACCAAAGAATCAACCCTAATAAATAAGTACTGCTTTTTATGTGAAATTTTTTGTAGTAGCAGTTGGAATAGCATAGTTCCAAATTTCCCTTTTTGAAAAAGGTTTTAATAAATAGGATCCTTTGAAGAATATTTACTTTTTAAAAAGATCTGGAACATGGACTCACAAATTAGTTAGATCAGCAGGAAAAAAGATATGTAAAGAAAAACACAGGTGTGCCTAAGCCCAAGGCTGCTCCAGAGTGAGCCTTTCCTGCATGTAGTTGAGGCACAAATACTGAGCATGTGTGCACCTCAGCCCTAGGCATGCTAATACATTAGCCTTGGAGGATGGATAATAAAAACTTGAGAAGATCCTTTTTACTTTGTCATGGTTATGACTTAGGCACTGATATTTTATTACCCAAGATTAAATCCTGATCCTTTTCTTAAGACAAGATTCCTATTACGCCCTCACATCTTGTATATTGGTCGATAATATATTTTCCATAGTTATTAGTACTCAGTATAACCAATTTGAATAGAGCACGCATTTTCAATTTGACCGCTAAATAGCAAGAACTTGAAAAGTTCAGATGTATTTTAGTAGGTTCAATATTTGAAATTTCATATCCAAGAATGTAGAGGTACAAAATTATAATGCTGAAAATATTGGACATGGTGATGACCATAAATAATTAAGTATATTTCCAGTGATTATTGGACATTGTGATGACCATAGCTTTTAGTGATTATTTTGAATGTTAAACAAGAAATTTCTGAAGAAGCCTTGTGGTTTGAAGGATTGGTTTTCTTGTAGTAGAAGTAGACAAATAATTTCTAAAATCTAGTTGTGATCTAGTAACTAGCTATGCAGGTGTTTAGCTGTGGAAAATTAAGAAGTAACCGACTCTTAAATTTGGAATATCATTGACATTGTTTTTCTAATTGAATGAGACTTGCTAATTTTGAGTTGAACACCTGTGCCAAATCTGTCTGGACCCCTTCCAATAACATTGATATGAATTCTCTGTAATTCCAGCTTGCCTTCTAGGCAAACAAAGAGGTATAGCGACTTGGTATAATGTATGAGAAAACATCCTATGCGTATAGTATAACTTGCATTGTTTTTCTTTCTTCTTCTTTTTTTTTTCCCCCTTCTTAGTTCTCCTTTAATATTTTTGATCAGTTGTTAGTGGATGCAGTAACATGTTATCTTTTCTATGCTCTCCAGGTTGTGAGTTGGATGACCTATGAAACTGAGCCTCATGTAATAAAATGGGCCCCTGGAAGTCTTATGTTTGCAACTGGTTCTTCTGAGCTATCATTTTGGATTCCAGACTTGTCTAAATTGGCAGCTTATGTTGGAAGGAAGTAGAATTTCCTCAATGCTCTTAAAATTTGAAACATACAGTGGTCAGGAGGTTCTCTACTTTAAATAGAGAACTCATGGACAGAATTCAGGAATATTCTTTGTATATATGTTTTTTATTTTCTTATTCTTCCTCATGTCTCTTTAAATTAGAGATATTTTCCCCAAAAAGAGGAAGGCAACTATGCTTCATAAAGAAGTTATCTATTAATCTAAGGATCTGTAAGACAAGATTGTACACTAGATCATAAAACATTGGTCTGAAGCTTGTGCAATATCGTGTTGGTCTCAACATGTAAACTCCGCAAAGCTTTCTTGACTTTCATTCACATAGTTTTATATGATTGTTAATTTTGAGGAAGGCCATTTAGAAGAACTTTAATCTGTGTATTTTCTTATATACGAATATCATATGCTAATGCTGCATCTTTTGATCAGCATCCATTCTCCGGGCATATCCATAAGCGAATCGAAGATTCATACTGGGAAGGATGTTTGAGATGGGCAAAATGTAAGTTTCTCCATCCTGAAGTTCAAATTATGTGTCCTTTCTGTTGTTTTCACTGGACATCCTGCATTTGACACTGTCATGGTCTGGTTGTATAAATTTTGAGTTTCTTTATACTCTACATTTATTTAGGACGATAGTGTAAGCATTAATGCACTGAACAAGCCCGCATTTTTAGCCATGGAAGGATGTTCGGAAATGCTTGCGGTTACCTCTACTCTGTAGCCAGCACCGTTTGCTACTCCTTGGGATTATGCCATATCACAAAGCTTGGTGGTTCATTTATCACACACTGAAGATCCTTTTCTAGATCAGCTAAATTTAATCACGTTTTCTTTCCCTAATATTTTCGTGAAAAACTAATTTCTTTGTCTCTTTTCCATTTACAACTTTTGATCAATTTCACGGTCATAAGAGAAAAGGAAGAAGAAGGGTGGAGCATTAGGAGTACAGGGGCGTTTCTCATGTCATGGGCCCGTGTGAAATTTAGGCCTAACAATCGGATTGTGACTTGGCCGGATCATATGGGCCCAGAATAAAGCCCCCAGATGTTTGTGGTAGCTAACTGATCAGAAATTATTGGAATTTTTGAGTGTTTTTTTTAATAGTTAGAGTAAAACTTAAATTTTTTCCCAATAATTTTAAACGCGCGAGCTTCTTATAAATGGAAAAATTGAGAGGCATGGAAATTGAGGCTTCCAATTATAGGGAGGAGACAGGAAATATTATTAATACTTAACATATATGGCTAAATATAGAAATTCAAAATGAATTGTGTTATTTTTATCTTGTGGAATTTCGAGAGAGTTTTTTATTGTATCCCTAAAGCTTAAAGTTTTGAATTTTGGTATTACTGTATGCTTTATCATGCTAACAAAGTTTCTATATAAACAATATTGATTCGATGTGTAGCTAACACAATTTTTGAAATAATAGTTTTTTATAATTTTCAATCATCTAATAGGTATTTCATTGATTTAATTTTGTAAGTTGAAATATTAAATAAAAAATTTTATAAGTTGATGTGTTTAATAATTGTAATTTTAAAAGTTGAAATTATTCAATGAGCCATAGTAAAAATTAAGGGAGTTACAAAGTTAAAAGTAATAAAATTAAAAGGTGAATTTATTTATGTCTATTTGATAATTATTTATTTTTTCTGCAAAATTTAACTGAAAACAAATCCATTTGTTTCTTTTTTTTTTCTTCAATCTTTCTGATTCAACAAAATTCAATATTCACTATTGTTTCAGTCACCATAAAAATTCATAAAATAAAATAAACCAACTAGCTCTTCTTCAACAACGGCTTTAATGTTAGAACTCTAACCAGAGAATCAGGTGTTTACATGATAAAACTGGCCAGCAAATTGAATGTTATCTAGGGACCGTTTAGTTAGTTTGTCACTTCCTCTGCTCCTGGCCTTTAGCTTAAGGTCTACGGCAGGTGAAGGAACGGACTTTCGGTCGTTTATTAGAATGTAATCGAATCTTTTGCTGCGTTTATTGATCAATAGAAGGATAAGAAAGTGTGACTAAGATTTTAACTTTTAAGTAAGAAAACATTCTGTTTCCAATAATGATAACATGCGAAAATGTCAAATCTCCTAATCCTTACCATTTGTATTTTCAATTGCCCAAATGCATAATTTGCTCCCTATATTTTCGCTGAAAAACCTTTTGGCCCCTTATAATTATGAAAAACTCACTAGGATTTTATACTTTTTTATTTTGTATGTATTACATCCTTCACTGGCTACTTTGCATGCGTGAGTTGTACTCGCCATGAGCCGGCAAAGAAGCTCTGACGCATTCGTAGTTATCACAGATGAACATGGCCATATTACGGTTCCCAGAACCGGAACTAGTGGTTCAGAATTGGTCCGAACCAGAACCGAAATTGGAGGTATACGGTTCAGTTCCGGTTTCATTATTCTGGGAACCGCAAACTGGCAGTTCCAAAAACCGGTCGAAACAGGATGGAACTGCCTGTTTTCTAGCTGGTTTGAACCGGTTCGAACCGATGGTTCTAGCCATTACAAACTGTCAGTATCTCTTTTTTTTTTTTACATTTTGTTGTGAAATCTCTTAATTACTCCTCTCAACAACTATAAACGGCTACATAACGACTAGTTTCAAGGGTATTTGTGGAAAAATGATTTTTTTGGATTTATTATAAATATCTCATTCCATTCCATTTACAATTTCCTCGCATAAAAATATCTACTCTCTCTACACTGTATTACACTTTACTCTATATTATTCTTTTCTACTCTACAGTCTCCATAATTTTCATTCACAATTTATTATGAATTAATTTATTCAAATTACAATCTCTAATTTCAATCTCTAATTATTCTCTCTAATTTTTTTATTCAATTTTTCAAATTATATATTATTTTCATATAATAGCAAGTGGAGGAAACTCAATTTTTTTATTCAATTTTTCAAATTATATATTATTTTCATATAATAGCAAGTGGAGGAAACTCAAATTCTGCTAAGGGCAAGGGAAAGATTGGAGAAAATTAATATTAATCTATCCTTACAAATGACATCTTCGATTTCACTCCCAACCGATTTAATTTTGAACGATATTCAAATGAAAATATGGAAATTTCAACTCAAGAATCTGAATTTAATAATGAGCAATTACAACAAAAGGAAGAGGAAGAGTAAGAGCAAGGTACACAACTTCTTCGAAGAGCAAGACAGAGTTCCGATATATTCGCCATTCATTTCATGAAAATATTCGCCATTCATTTCATGAAAAAATTCAAAGGTGACAAAATGTTCGATGTAATTTGCAATTATTGTGGAAAATCTTATAAATTTAAACAATCGGGCTGCTATGGATCATTTTGGAAGCATTTGGAAACAAAACATCCAACAAAAATAGGAGCTGATCGGTCTTAAACACAAATTTCCGGGCACACATCTTCTAACCTTTTTTTATTTCAATATTCTGAAAAAAAACAAAAAGAAGAATTAGTAAAAATGATTTCTATAGAACATTTATCTTTTAGTTTTAGTGAAAAAGTAGGTTTTGATTAATATTGTCAAAAAGTTTTAAATCTTTCTGCTAAAAGAGTGCCAAGAAATACTGTAAAACGAACTATTATTTCTTTATATAAAAAAGGAAAAAAAAAAGTTAGCTTTTATTTTCTGAAATGAAAATTCGTGTTTCAATTTGTTGTTTTATTTTAATTTTTCCTGTTAAATGAAAAAATTCCGTTGGTTTCAATTTGGGTTTTTTGTGGGATATTTGAGTTTGATCAAATTGGCAAATGGCAATTCCTTATATGGGGGCCATTTAACCATGTCCATTAGGTATTTGATAAATGAATTTTAAAAAAATTCAAAAAGGAATTATTGGGCATTTTCCCGTTGGCTTTTGAAATGATTAAACATACTGCCATTTTCTTATACTTTCTTTTAATTGCAAAACAAAGTTTTTTTTAAGCAGCTTTTCGGTCCTCCAACTGTTTGCGATTGAACAAAGCCCTTTTTTTAGTCAAGGAATGGAACATACTTTGATGAAACACGATCCTTCGTATAAACAAGCCTCTATTCACTAGAAGCAAAACCAATCATGGCCGTGGATTTGATTTGAGCAAGGGGTTCCGAAACTAAGAAAGCCCACAAGGAAAAATCTAAAAGAAAAATGAAGATTTATATGATTATCTACGATGGGTTTTCCCCTATCCAAACGGGAAAATATTCAACCGGTGGTAAGAAAAAATAACGAAATTAACGTAAAAATGGTGAAAATTTGATATTAGATAGGTAAGCACAATCATGCGTGGATGATTGGAGCAAGGCCGAACTAAGAGCACAAGAAAATCTAAAAGAAAATGAAGATTTATATGATCTTTACGATGGGTCCTAAACGGGAATATCAACCGGTGGTAGAAATAACGAATAACGTAAAATGGGTGAAATTGATATAAGGTAAGTAAGAACTATGTGGGCTTTGTTTTTTTTTTAAAAACATTATGTTCCAATTTTTTTAAACAAAAAAAAAATTCAGTTAGAAGACTTTTTTTAAAAAAATAATTAAGTTCAAGTCTTTTCAAAAAAAAAAATTTAATTGATACATTTTTAAAATTTTTAAGTGTATTTTTCTTTTAGAAATAATTTCACAAATTTTTAAATTTTGAAAACTAGTCTTCTAAATTTAAAATTTAAAATTATCCGATTTTTCGGAAAACGGGTCGGAGAACCGATCGGAACCTTCGGTTTTGGAACCGTTAAGGAACCAAAACAGAAACTAGAACCGTTCGATTCTAAACCGAAACCAGAACCGGAAATTTTCGGTTGTGTTTCGAAACCGTAGCCATGCCTAAATTCACAGACACAACAGCTGTAATACATATCAACACACCTTTTTTAGTATTTTTTTATATTGACTTTAAATAGGACTCAAAAAAAGACAAAAAATAAAATAAAATAAAAATAAAAACCAATCTTCTCAATGCCATTACAGCAAATTCCTCATCTTCAACAAAGTATCAACTTCCTCATTGTCATCGCTTGAATCATTTTGTCTTCACAGGTTCCTTCTTTTTGAACAGATTATTATCCTCAGTTCCGGACTTTGAATTATCCAATAATTCCAATGGATTACTCTGGCAAGAAATCATTTTAGAACCACATACTTTATCAAACCCTTTTTTTGAACAAAACACACGTGTTGTTTCACCTGATTTTCCTCTTATTTCACAAAAAAATTGAATCAAACCCTTAACTTTGCCAAGTAAATTGCATCAACTTCAATCCCAGACCAAACAACAAGAACAACCCAAAAACATTAAAAACTGGAGAGTAACACCCAAGAACCAAAAACCCACCTTTCAATTCCCTATTTCGAGTTAAAATTTTCAATAAAGAAGCAAAATCCATCGGAAAGAGTCCCAGAACAATCTTAAAAATTCTCT